TCTCTCTCTCTCTCTCTCTCTCTCTCTCTCTCTCTCTCTCTCTGTGTGTGTGTGTGTGTGTGTGTGTGATGGAAGAAATAAACTTAAAAAAAACAATTCCTGCTCTGCCTTGACCAGACATTTTGAGTCATGATTCAGGTTGGTGACATAAATGCTCTGAATCTCAACTTCTTTGTATGAAGAATGGAGATACTGATAGTACCTCCTTTAGACAGTTGGGGGACTACATGACTTGATAAAAGAATGGCACTTTGTGAAGTATCTGGTCCTTAAAAAGTGCTCAATAAGTGACAGCAGTTACTATTGAATTCTCAAAGGATGTTTATTATCTCATCTCAAAGGTGTACGTTGGTTTGAAGCCCCAAGTAGGTGCCCAAATTGAGAAAACACACATTCTTGGACCTGTGCATCCACCAGTCAACTTCAAAAAACTGTAACCCTTGAACCAATCCTGATAGCACGTTAGAATCCCTTTGAAAGGGCCGATGTTATGGCCCAGCCACGGTAACACACACAGGGTGATGCTGTTATTCTGTGGGCTGGAGACAGGCAAGGCCCAAGTTTGATCCTGGCCCACCCTAAAAATCTGGGTGTGGTGGCACACACTTGTGGTCCCAGCTGCTTGGGAGGCTGAGGCAGGAAGATAATGACATAGAGAGACTGTCTAAAAATTTGACAAATTTAAGAATGGGGAAAATGTAAAGAAAAATGTGATGCCTCATCCTCAACCATATCAGAATCCCTAGGGGTGGAATTTTCTAGAGTGTGTGCAGCCAAGTCCCAGACCACTGTTCTGGATTGGGAACCCACCTAATTGACTTGTTGATTTATTTGTTTCGAAAGGAAAATAGGTTCATTGATCTTTCTAATTATAAAAGTAATATTGTACAATGTACAAAATTTGGAAAATTCAGAAAGTTATAAAGAACTTAAAACCACTCATAGCCTCCCCATCTGGAGAGAACGTCTATCTTTACATTAGTTCAAATACTCTGCCTAGATACACACACGTATACCTGGATACACACAGAACTAGGTCAAACTACCAGTGTACACTGGACTGTTTTGTATACTGCTTTTTAGCATATGATTTCATGGGAAGCTATATTCATTTTTTTTAAAGGTTTTTGCTATAGGGCACATGTGCTCACTGGAAAGAGATGGATAGTGAGAAGGAAAGTGAGAAATCACTGCCCAGGAGAGATGGCCACACCAAAATCTCTTCTTTTTTATTCTCTTCCTGGGATTTTGGGTATGCATGCCACAAACCATTAGGTCCAGGACTCAAACTGTAGTCAGCCATATGGGAGTTCGGTGCCTTGACCACCATGCCACCTGCTGGCCCCTATACTATTGTTTTTAAGGGTACTAGAAGATGTCACTGCAAGGATGAACCACAATGTAATTTGTTGTCTTCCCATAAAATTCCAATTTTTCTATTTTTTCTGATTGTTTTCTTAAAATAAATTCTTAGAGGTGGAACTACTGAGCTAAAATCACTGTAGTTTGATGTATACATCAGCCTCTGAAAAGGCTGCACCAATTTAACTCCCACCAGTATCTTTGCCATGATGAGGACTACAGTCTTTTTAATATATGTCAATCTGGCAGGCCAAAAATAAGGTATTTGTTCGTTTTATTAGGCATTTCCTTTAATATCAGTGAACTGGAATTTTTTGTATATTCACTACATAAGTGTCCTAAATGATAAAGCTAACATTTATTTGCAAATTAGCCTGAGTCAGACATTTTACATATATGAACTCAATAAATTCTCACAACACTATGTAATTGGTACTGTTAGTGCCCCTATTTTCCAAACAAGAAACGGAGGCCCAGAGAGGTTGAATAACTCACTCGAGGTCACATGTTGGTGGCACTAAGATTCAAACCCAGACCACCTGGCTCCAGCCTGTGTGCTTTACCTGCTATGCTCTACTGCCTCTCAGCAACACCTAGTTGAACATTTTGCCTATTTTTCTATTGCAGTACTTGTCTTTTTCTTTTTGAGTTGTAAAAGTGCTAGATACAGATATAGGTATCTGTTTATATTTTATTACCTACATGTACAGTTAAAAATGTTTGTTCAGTTTACATCTGTCATTTGTCTTTTAATTTTGTTCTTTATACTTTGTTTTGCAAAAAAAATTAAGAAAACTGTTTATTTGGGCCGGCCCCATGGCCTAGCAATTAAGGGAGCTAGATCCCTCATGGCTGACCACTGTATGAATCCCAGACCTGTTGGCTTGAAAACCTCACTGGGCAAATGTGCATGTGGGCCCCAAATCCTGACAGGTGAAATGGAGAAGCAATTGCACATCCCAGTGGGGGCTGCCTCCTCTTTGTCTCTCTCTGGTGAATGCATGTACTCTGGCAATTTTAAAAAGTTTTATATAAATAAGATACTAACACATTCTTGATATGCAAGATTCAGTCAACAGAGGTATACAGATGAAATGTCAAAGTTTCCCTCACTATCCTACCCCAGAGGTAGCCTTTGCCAACAGACTAAAGGGAAATCCTCTAGTATCTTGAAATGTTCATTATATATATTTTCTCCCACTTTTTGCAAAATTGGCCATACTGTAGGATTGCCCTATAACTTTTGTTTTTTCAAATAACAGCATTTTCTTGATATCTTTCCATGTTAATACATCAAATAGGAGATGCCTATTTAACCTTTTAAAAGCTGGCCATAGTACAGATCTATCATAATTTATTTAACCATTCCCCTTAATGAGCATCTAGGTTATTTCCCAGAATAAAAGATTTATTTTTAGATTGCTATGGCTCTAAATCCTTTAGGGTTCTGTCCTTGCCATGCTAATTTCTCCACCTCAGTATTATAAAGTATTTAGTCTTGAGCCAGCTCAGTTGTAAACAGTAACTCACTACTGAAGCAAAGCTGGATCCATCTGGAAAACTGCAGGTTCAATTCCCTGGTTGACTTGTACGTGACAGGTATACATGTCTGTGAGCCAGACTGGCTACAAAGACTGTAGGAAGGACAGTGGTAAGAGTTCCCATTGAGGGTGTATGTCTCCCTCTCTCCCTTTCATAATAGTATACATGCACGAGAGAGAAAGAGACATGCACTCTTCACAGGCTTGGTCATATTGTGATCCCCCTTCTCCACCCCTCTAGGATCCTGGACACACATGCAAGTGCTCAATGTGTTTTCAGGCTGAATAGGTCAGGAACTTGAACTGTGGTCAGCACATGGTTTCCAGCTCCAGAGTTCAGAATGCCACCAACTGTACTAGAGAAGCTGGGCCAGAAACAAATGGACTCTATTTTAAAAATTAGTACTTTTATGGTTTTTCATGTGTATCTTGTAACTGGCAATTTTCTAATTCTCTTCCTAGTTGGACTAGATTTCAGCTCTTCCTTTTGGCTACTCTGGAGGGCAGCAATCATGTTCCTGCAAATAATGATTGTTTTCTCTTTCTTAATATTTAAGCCTCTCAGTTCTTTTCTTGTTTCTGTTTTCCTCCCAGTTGGCCAGATCTAAAACACCTAGAACGTCTATTTTAATAGATTTCCAACTTCAACTTGCAATTAAACATTGAGGGAAGTATAGAGAAGTATGGAGCTAATTAAATACTGGGTTATCAGAAAAGTCATGACACATTTTTACATAGAAAAAATATATCCTGGTTTTTCCAGCAACCCAATAGCAATTGTGGAGTTTGGAGAGGAGATGGTATGTTGAAAGCTTCTTTCAAAATGAGTTATTTAACTAAGCCAAAGTGCCCACAGTGGAGGTTGTGGGGTTGAGCTGGAGATGGATTGAGGAGATGGCTGCAGGGTACTAAGGTTTGGATGATGGTTTGTCCACGATAGGTTTGTGTTCTAAAATTTGGTCTTAGTGAGTAGTGACTAGACGTTCTCCAAAAGTTGGGACTTGGTTGTACTTCAAAGGTGTTAAGTGAAAAATTAATCCCTTTTTCTTTCTGTCTCTGTCTCTGTCTCTCTCCCTTTCCCTCAAAATTTTTCTCTCTTATATATGTATTTCTTTCTTTCTTTTTTTTAACTCTGTAGGTACTGTCTCTTGCCTCTGACTTCTCTTTCTCTTGCTAATGTCAGAATCCATGTGCATCTGAGGTGGGCTTTCTCTGCCCCTTTAATTGGAAAAAGCCTCTGCCCCAAGCTCCTCCTTCTGGCCCAACACCCAGCAAAACGCTAAAAGGTAGGAAGTAGCATATACTCCATCTGATGACCAGGAACCACTACTGCAGAGGTACAAGAAATATGAAAAGCCAAGAACATATCTCTCCCCCAAAGAACAGCCCTTCATCATCCACAGACAGTACAATGGAACCCCTAGAAATGTAAGATAAAGATTTTAGGCTATCTATAGTGACAAAGCTAAGAGAAGAGAGACAACGAACTCCAGAAGATGCAGAAGAAAAGAGACAACGAGTTCCAGGAGGTGAGGAAGTTCTTCCACAATCTGAAAGAGGAAATACACACCATAGAAAAGAATCAAATGGAACTGTTAGAGATGAAGGCTGTAATTCAGGAAATCAAAACCTCCCTTGAAAGTATTAAAAGCAGATTAGATCACACAGAAGATCGAATCTCAGATGTAGAAGACAGAACCTCTGACCTAGAAAAATTCACCTAAAAGACAGAGAAAATAACCAAAAATAAATGAGAATAATATGAGAGTAATACTAGATACCATTAGATGCCCAAACACATGGATCATTGGTAGCCCAGAAGGTGAAGAAAGTAATCAGGGCATTGACAATCTAGTCCATGAAATCCTGAAAGAAAACTTGTTAAAAATAGAGAGAAATCCAAATATCCAGACCCAAGAAATACAAAGGACCCCACATGGAATCAAGCCAAGAAGATCTTCTCCAAGGCACATTATACCAGATTGACCAGAACCACAGAGATAAGATACTAAAATTGGCAAGAGAAAAACATCAAGTTACTTTCAGAGGCTATCCCATCAGGGTAACATCAGACCTCTTGTCAGAAACAATCCAAGCAAGGAAAGAATGGGAAAATGCATTCGAGGTGTAAAGTGAAAAACAATTTCAACCAAAAATACTGTATCCGGCAAGCTTATCCTTCATGTGGGAAGAAAAGATAAACAAAACCTGATAGAATTTATCAACACCAGACAAGCTCTTCGAGAAGTTCTGAAAGGAGTACTATACAAGGAAAACTAAAGACAGACAAATAAGAGAACAAAAAATGACCAAGAAAAAGGCCAACTTAATGGTAGGGACAAGTTCTGAAATATCAATAATAATGCTGAATATTAACGGAAAGGTCAGGCCACACAGGAACGCTGAAAATTCAACAAAAGAGATTACACAAGACTGAACTGGTGAAATAGAATTCTATGACTTTTTTCCAAAACATTACTGATTTTCTTCTATGCTTTGTCTTCCAGATTTAAGAGTTTTTATTTTCTTTTGAGTTGTTGGGTTCGGCAATTTGTTAAAGAATTTTAAAAATTGAAACATAAACTTTTCTCCCTTCTTGACCCCTTTGCAATTGGAAACTATCTGTGAGCATTCTTATTTTGTGACAGAATGGTTATTTGCATAAGTTCAATAATACAATAGTATCCATTGCTTTGCATCAGAAATTGAATTCTGGGACCAGCAGTTAGCGTAATGGCTATGTCGCCGGACTCCCACATAGTCAACCGTGGTTCGAGTCCCGGACCCGGTTGCTTAAACTCACGCCAGGCGCATGTGCATGCGTGCCCAAGATCCCGAGAGGAGAAGGGATTGCGGCGTGGCCATCCCCCTGGGGGATGTTTTCTCGCTTTCTGTCTCTGTCTGGCAAGCGCAGGCGCCCTATAACAAAAACATCTCAAAGGTGAGCGCCGGGGGCCCTATAAAAAAAACAACGCAAAAAAAAAAAAAAAAAAAAAGAAAGAAATTGAATTCTCATGCGGCTTTGTGCAAATAACAGATCAAATTGAGATTAACTTAATATTTTTTCGTTTTTGCAAATAAGTTAGCTTATACCTCTTTTTAGTAAAAGGAGGAATAGAGAGAGAGAAAAAAAAATTGTTTCAGAAGAAAATTACAGTGCACTTGTCACTAGATTCTAGCTTTGTCCATACTTTAAGATCTTTGGTGAATCAATAAAATGTGGGGAAAAAAAAGGGTTAGTATGGAAGGAAAAGAGAGGAAAAGGGAAGGAAAAAAATGGGTAAAAGTATGCTTAATTGATAAAAAATGACAAGCTGTTTGCTGATGATAATGTATACAGTAATATCCTTATCTTGATTGACATGCATGGTTTTTGTGTTGGAAAAAGAAATGTTTACTGTACAGACGTGATAACATGTAAATGTTAATTAATTAATTAATCCCTTTGTGGTGGCTCAGAGTGGGGCCTTTGGTGTGATAAAGTCATCAAGGAGGGGACCCCCAATTGAGTTCTGGTATATTTATAGGGAGAGAAAAGAAATGAGGCAGGTGACGGCCACGTGGATACAGACCAGAACAAAGAGAAACATGTACAGCTACTCTGCTCAAGTCCCTGCCCTCTGCCGTGTTGTGGCCTCACCAGGCGTTGGACCCTGGGCTCTGGACCTCCAATCTGTGAACTGAATAAATGTGTACTTCTTCATAAAATCACTCAGTCTCAGATATTTCTGTTAGGAACACAATAATGAAATAGGACATACAGGAAGGAGACAATGTTACATTTTAAGGAAACTAACAAATTAAGTAAATAAATGCAGGATAATAGGAGTAGGTCTTCTTGGGGCCAGCAGGTGACATAGTGGTTACATCGCTGGCCTCCCACATGGTCAACTGTGATTCCAATCCTGGATCTGGCAGGCATGTGCACGGTGCACGCCCAAAATCCTAGTGGAGGAGAAGGGATTGTGGCATGGCCTTCCTGCCTGGGGAGGTGATTTCTCACTCTCCCTCTCACTGTCTCTCTCTCTCTGGCAAGCACAAATGCCCAATAGCAAAAAACCTTAAAAAAAAAAAAAAAAAAAAAAAAGGGCTGGGCTTCTCACAGAACAAGGAGTTATCAATAGAAAGTGGACAGCTGGAATAAATTCTATGGAATTAGGTTAGAATAGGAGGTACTGGCATGAATTCATGAGTTTAATATATATCAACTGATCTAGAAATAAATACAAATATATATGCATATGTAAATGTGCGACTATACATACATATATCCTAGGCTACACTCCCTATGGTTATATAATCAGAGGCTCAGAGGACATCTAAGTCTCTGCATCTTGCAGATGGGGACAATGAAACCCTAATTTTGTTCTTTTCTTTTGGTTTTCTCAAAGTCGTAGGAAAAAAACAGTAATATTAGCATAAGTATCTCACAGTGGCTTTCTGAAGTCAGGTGGTAGAAATCATGTTTCTTTAATTAAGTGATTCACTTTTATGATAGACAGTACATGTGTGCATACATAAGAGAGGAAGCAGCCCTGACAGGGTCTTGTCACTCTACGATCCCTGTTCCCCCCGTCTCTCAGCTCCTTAGCATCCGAGGAGCTTGTGCACACATCCCATCCCCCACGTCTCCAAGTCAGTCCAGGCCAGGGAGCTGAGCCTGTAGTTGGCATCTGGCTTTCAGCCTTGCAAGGCACTTTTGTTACCACTGCACAGTGTCTGGGCCAGAATCATGTGTCTTTCTCCTTCCTGCTGCGAAAATCAAGGCATTGTGTTGTATTAAGAAATGAACCAAGAGGGGCCGGCAAGAGGTGTGGTTGTTGAAAGGGCGCTGGATTCCCACATGGCTGACTACAGTTTGAGTCCCGGACTTAGCGGCTTGCTTTCTCACTTTCTCTTTCTCTCTCTTTCTCTCTTTTTTTCTCTCTCTCACTCTGTCCCTCTCTTGTCAAAATTTAAAATAAATAAATAAAGTTAAATAAAAATAATTCTTTGAAACAGAAAAGAAATGAATGAAGAACTGAGCTCTCATTTGCTGGCTGACAAGGTAAAGACCGCTTGGCGGCACATCTGAAGGCTGGGCATTACCAGCTGCTTTCACAGCGCTCCAGCTCTTCTTCTGATCAAGCAGATGTCTCCAACATCCTGTTGTATATGATTTCTACACAACAGCTAACAGGAGTGCTGGCGAGGGGCCTGCCCGTAATCCCAGTCCTCACCAGTGCTGAGAAAGCACTACTCCACTGGAAAAGGCAGTGTGGGTACTTACATTTTTAATGATCAGTGGGTATCTTGTTACCCGTTGCATAGGCTTCAGGATGAAACTAGACAGTGGCATCCCTTTACATCGAGGATCCATTGCCAACCTCTGAAATAAGAGATTTTCTTTAATGTACTTAGGGAATCTGCAAAATCCCAAGTCTGTGACATCAACACTCACTGAGGACTCTCCACCCATTAGCTCATTTATTTGGATGACGACTGAGGAATCTAGGGTTGGAAGGGCCTGACTAGTTATCCAGATCCACGATGAGATGGGAGGCCCACAGCTGGGACTCAGCCCCCAGGGTTAGGGCTGCTCTCGGACTCAGCTTGCCTTCCCTGGCACACCCGGCTCCTTCCTCAGAGAAGAGGTTCTGGCTTACAGAACATTAGAGAACATTTCTTCAGGATGGCTGAGCAAACTTCATAACGTTCCCAGGAACAAGAAGAGACACAAGATTATATAGTGAGAATGAAAATTCCCCTTAGTCCTGAGATGCTGGAAGGACTGAACCTTGTCTAGTTTTGGGAGGAGCACACATTTCCTGCACACAACTCTAGGAGCCTTGGGAAGGGCAGGGAGGGTGCAGCTGAGACATGAGAGTCAAGACTCTAGTCTCAAGGCCTGTGGTTGCCTTCACTCTCATCCCCTGCTTCCTTCCTCTCAACCATTTGGCAATTTTTTTTTTGAGAGTTTTTGTTTTGTTTTGTTTTTGTTTGTTTTGCTACAGGGTGTGTGTGCTCCCCAGATAGAGGCAGAGAGACAGAAAGTGAGAAATCACCCCCCAGGGGGATGGCCACACCACAATCCCTTCTCCTCCATTCTCCTCTTGGGATCTTGGGCAAGCATGCACACGTGCCCGGTGTGAGATTAAGCCACTAGGTCCGAGACTCAAACCACGGTCGACTACATGAGAGTTCAGCAACATAGCCATTACACTAACTGCTGGTCCCTAACCATTTGCCAAATTTGTCCACCTCCTTAAAGGATGAGAGTCCTAACTCCAAAAGATGAGCCCTGTCTACAAGTCACAGGGATTATGCAGTGGCTTAGTTCTTAAAGACTCTGTCCTGGTTTAATGCCTTAGAAATGGGAAACTGCCTTGACCCAGAGCCCAAGGCCTGAAACCCATCAGCACCAGGACCTGCTCCATTCGTGGCCATTAATCCAAAAAAGTCTTGCATCCAGCAAAGGCATGCCAACCTGTGCTGGGATGAGGCAGGGAGAGGTGGAGAGGAAACGGCGACGGGAGAGTTAGGAGGGACAACACACCCCTGCCCTGGGCCAGTGTCAGCACTTCCTGCAGTCTGAGTGTATCTGATGAAGAACTCATCCTGCCCGTGCCCAGAATTCAGCTGAAGCCCCGGGCAGCCCCAAGTGCCTGGCAGCCTGGCACCTGCTCTCCCATATCCATTGTACCCTGGACCTGCCCATTGGCCATCTTTCTCACCTTAGCATGACCTTAGACTGCCCCACTCACTAGCTAGTCAATCTCAATATTTACTGTTGAGAAACACCAGTGGGAAAAGAAACAAGGTTCTAGCCACAAAGAGACTCCACTCACACCTCCCAACGATGAATCAACATATGTGATTCCTAGGGAGGGAATAGTGACAGGCCTCCAGCATGTATGAGACCCAAAGGTTTGCCTGTCAATGTTATTATTCTTTTGCTATTCCTTCATTAAAATGGACCAGTTTGAAAGAATTTATGTTATCCTCTTCCTATTTTTCCCTTGGGGTATTTGGGGCTGTTTGAGTGGCCCAGTGTGGCCAGCAGGGACTCACCCTGGCCAAGAGCCTGGAGCCTCTAGCAGCATGGACACCACCTCCCCCAATGTCCCCTGGTGGGCACACAGTTCTCTAGAGCCCTGATAGCCCTGAGATGGACGTCCTCGCATCCCAGGATCCATCCCTGGGTCCCTGATCCCCACAGGCTGCCCAGAGCTTGAGTCCCTCAAGTAGGACCAACTGGGAAAAGGGCTGCCGGGGCTCCTGGCCACACCCTCTGCAAGGAAGGGTGGAGACTGGCTAAGAACCAACGCTGCCAAGATTAAATAGGAAAGGCACTCTGGGGCTGGCCCCACAGCCTAGTGGTCAAAGGAGCCAGATCCCACATGGTTCAAATCCTGACCATGCACGCACATGCATCTGTACTCTAAATCCCGACAGAATGGAAAAATGGAGATGGGACTGCAGTGCGACCACACCCCATTTTGAAGAGTGCTTTCTCCCTCTCACTCTCTGTCTCTCTCTGGGGAGTGCATGCCCTCTTGTAATTAAAAAAAATGCTTAACTAAAAAAGAAGGAACAAGAAGGAAGACTGAGGAAGGAAGGACAGAAGGAAAGAAGCAAGAAGGAAGAAGAAGAAAACAAAAGGAAATTTGAGACCTGCCTAGGCCTGGCGAAGGAGGTGAAGAACTTGGGCCTGCGTTCAGATAACACCACTAACACCCGCAACGGATCCTTGAAGACACCTCAAGGCTTCCATGTCGAGCAGGCCCCCTCCTCTCTGAGCCCACCCCTTTGGGAACAGCCACACCCACCAGCTAGTGCCAGTCCTCTATCGTGGGCCAAGAGCTCAATCCCTGTTGGCCTTCAGTGGCAATTCGCTGGCAGGCTTTTGGATCAGCCCCTACACACCCAGCTACCCGAAGACTGCCATCTCTGCACAGGTCTCTGTGTGGCCTGGGCTCCTTACTTTGACAAAGTCCTTGAAGTCCGGGGCCTCATCCGTTTTCTGCTGGATTAGGGCGGCCCCGTTGAGCTGGCAACTGCAAAAGCGGATGTAGGGCTGCATGTGTGGCAGCTGGGCACTCAGGATGTCGCCGATCATCTTCACGGGCATCTTCTCCCCAGACATCTTCTTTCGAACTCTCAGCGCTCTGCGTGGAAACACAGGAGGTAAGGCCCCCGCCTTCGGGCTGTCTGACAGCACCACGGCACACTTCTAGGTTGTACGGAAGCAGAATGTGTGTAAGGGACACAGACCCAAAGGCTCTAAAGGATCTATGTAGGAAACAAGGAACACAGGAAGAAATGAGTCTAGGACTACAGAGAGTATCACCAGGGCATTTTTCTTTGGCCACAATTTTTTTCCTCTTGTGCAGAAATAACAAACTTCTTTAATAAGGGCAGGATTCCTGGGTCAATGTCTCACATCACAGAATATCTGTGGTGAAAGCCCCATGCTGGTGTGACCCAAGCACTGAGACTATTTCCAGGACCGCTGCTGCCCAAGGGAAGTTGCTGTCACCAGGGAGGAGGCTCATTTTCAGACTAAACAAAACATAATTAACATGGCAAATCAATGGCTTCAAAATTAATCTGTGATGTTTGCCAAAGCCAGGGATAAATGATCATTTGAACTATCCCTGCTGTTGGCTGCTTTATTGCTGTGGCTAATTTGAAGTTGTCTAGATTAAGAGTTCTGAAAAGAGAAGCCTATTACTATGATAATGGGTCAATAAATCCAACGTGTAACCTAGAAGCTGAGAAGAGGTGTTTGGTGGGATTGGGAAGTGGGTTCTGGGATCCATCTGCAGTGTGAGTATTCTGGGCCACAATAGCTAGGACAGTGCATCCATCCTTCCAACTCTAATACATAAACCTTTTTTTTTTTTTTTGAGAGAGATTTTTGCTATAGGCGTGTGTATTCACTGGAGAGACAGAGGGACAGAAAGCGAGAAATCAACCCCCAGGTGGGATGGCCACAATGCAATCCCTTCTCCTCCATCTCCTCTCGGGATCTTTGGCATGCATGCACACACACATGCCCAGCGTGAATTTTAAGCCTCCGGGTCTGGAATTCAAACCATGGTTGGCCATGGGAGAGTCCAGCAAAGTAACCATTACACCATCTGCTGGTCCCTCTAATACATGAACTCTTAACACCTGCATCCAGAAGGTGACAACATGAGCTTCTACATGGCAAGGATAGCAATGCATGAGAAGGGCAGGACTGCAACGTATGAGGCGATAAGTGTGTTCCACTACTTTAGTGACCACAGGTAGATGGGTGGATGGGTAAATGGAGGGGTAGATGAACAGAATGGTGTGGTGCATCATTTTAACCTGAGGCTGGGAGGATGTCCCTATGGAGCCCTTTGACTGCTTTCATGGTCATGTTGGTGAAACTCTTGAAGTATGTGTAGGGCCATCTAACTTCAAGAAGACTCTACAATATTAGTATTAGGCTTCACAAACTTCAGATCACTTTCTTTTCTTTCTCCCACATTTTTGGCTAAAGATAAGTTTGTTGGACTAGGTAAGCCAGGGAAGGAAATATCAGGGGCAATAAATTATATGGACTGAGAAATCCATGATCCCACCTCAAGCAGATGCCCTTACAGGGAGAGGTGCAGGTCAGCACTGGCTGCTGGGGTGTGAGGAGTTGGCAGCTCAGTACCTCAGAGTGGCTCAAAGTCATTGCCCACTGGGGGTTCACGTGGAATTCTCCCAAATCCCCCAACATGCCAAAGTTTGTTCTCATCCCTCCCTCCCCTATTGTTGGGACAAGAGCCCTGAAAAACCACGTTACAGGGGCCGGCAGGTAGCGTGGTGGTAAGGGTGCTGGACTACGACATAGCCGACCACAGTTTGAGTCCCAGACCATGGTGTGATTTCTCACTTTCCTTTTTTCTCTCTCTCACACTCTGTCCCTCTCTGGCCAAATAAAAATAAAAATAAATAAAGTTAAATAAAATAATTTAAAAAACAACATGTTACAAACTTGCTAAGGATAGAAACAAGAAGGAAGTCCATCATATCCCGTGAAGAGTATAGGAAGGGAATAAAAGTACTTTCACTCTCTTCTCCCCTCCCCCACGTTATTTATTTATTTATTTATTTATTGAGAAATTTTTGCTATAGGGTGCATGTGCTCACCAGAGAGACAGAGAGAGATGGAGAGAGAGAAAATGAGAAATCCACCTCCCCAGGAAGGATAGTCATACACAGTGCTTTCTCCTAGATTCTCCTCTCGGGATTGTGAACACACATGCACAAGCACCCAGCCTGAGTTTTAAGCCTCTGAAACTGGGACTCGGACCATGGCCCACTAGGTGGGAGTCCAGTGCCCTAACTACCATGCTACCTGCTTGCCCCACATTATTTTTTAAATAATGGGGGGGGGCAAGAAAAAAGGAAATGAAGAATGATCACATGCAGATAGTCATTATCTTGAGCAAGTTGAACTAGTGCCTGGGGTCCTGAAGCTCACACTCATAGAGCAGTTGTCCCACCAGGAGACAGGTCTGAAATTAAGCTCCACCTATGTACCAGGCACCTCTTAGGTTCAGTTATGGGTCTCGTTCTGGGATGTCCTGACACATGGACTTACGAGGACTGGAGTGTTACCAGGCCCAGCCACGGCCTGGAGAGTACTCCTCCCTTTGGAGAACTAATTTGCAGCCACAGGAATTTTACACACCAGAGGCCTTGAACCATAAAGACTAATCAACCAGCTGGTAAATATTTCAAAGTGTGTGCAGTGTTTATTGAATGTGTGAATGTTCTTAGCTCTCCGAAGTCTGCAGACTGAGTGGACAGTCATAGAGCTGGCATGATTAATGTATCACTTATTTTTACATTTATTTCTTATTATCCCTATTTCCTATTGGGGGAATTGAGACAAGCAGAAAATGAGTGACTTGACGAAATTCACACTGCTAATGGATGATAGGGGCAGCCCTTGAACTCAGACCTGACCCAAGAGCCCACAGTTGTGACAGGAGGCATAGGTGTAGTGGGTCCTGACCTACCTACCCTCCTAGCTAATCTTGGCACCTGCCCATCCCCAGAAGCAGCTCTTGACTCCCGCCACCCGGCCCTCAGATCTCTCTCCTCCTCTCAGCCCCACAGAGGCAGCCTTTACACTCCCCTCCTTGCTGTCCTTCTCTCCATCTCAACATTCTTTCTTCCCATTTCTCACTCTCTCCATGCCCAGTCCAAATTCCCTATTTTCTTTCTTTCTCTTCACCCTCTCTTAACCACTCAAGATATTTTTTTTGTTTGTTTTTCTTTCATTTTCTGATTAAATAAAATAAAATGGTGTCCATGCTTCTTAAGATAAGGTAAGTCAAATACTTTATATTAATAAAAAATGCTTATTGGGAAGAAGCTCTTTTGTTTTTCTTTTTTTTCTTTTCTTTCTTTTCTTCTTTTTGTTTTTCTTCCCATAAAGGTCGGGCGAAGATCTCCTGCACCTGAACTCTGGACATAAAACGATTCTAGGTGTTTTCTGATCTGCTCATTACAGACGTATTTCTCAGTTCAGCTCACCAGTAAGAGCACGACCATTTGTCCTAACCATCAACCATCACAATAAGTAGGAAGGGCACAGGTTCCAGGTAGTCTCCTTTACCTTCATTTTATTTATGTGTTACTAAATCCTATCAACCCACTGCCATATACAAGGAGTGTATGCTGAGCTCCTGGGATCAGGAGTGCCGGGTGGTGGCTGTTCTCTGGTGACATTCCAGGGGTGCCACCTTCAGTTATCTTTAGCCCCTCCTCCTCCAGCCTGCCAGGAGTCCTCCAATCCTCTTGACATGGGGGTTATTCTTTTGCATAAAGAAATCATATCTGTGTAGCCAAGCAAACATAGCAAAATGCTAATTATAAAATTTATGATTTGGGTATTTGCTCTACAATTCTTTCAAGTTCTTTATATGTTTCATAATAAAATATTCAAAAGAAGAAAAAAAAATCAGATCCCCGGGGGCTCCTGTTTAGTAAAAGTATTTCATCTGGAGCATGAAAACATGAGCCAGTTCCCCCATACTAGCCAATCAGGTCATCAGAGGGGCAGGGACAGGGACCTCGTGCTGGGGAGGGGCTGGCAATGGCTGTGCAGGTCTACGCCATGCTGACCCTGCCCCAGCTGCATGATCAGTCCCGTGCTCCCGGCAGCTTGTATGGCAGACAGGAGAGGTCCCAGACCGCAACCTTCAAGGTTCTAAAAACAAAAGCAGGGAGGGTCGCCTGCCCAAGGTAACTGCTCCAAACAAGTTAGCAGGTGCTCAGGCCCGGACAAGAACTTGGCAAAGCTTACTTCTGGTCCTGTGTTCTTTGTGCTGGCGACAACTGGGTGGAATCCCCAGTTCTAGGACGCCATGTGTCATCCAGAGCACAGCCCACATGCTATGTGGCTTTGGACAAGGCACAGCCTCTGTAGGCTATATCAGCCCACTCACAGCTCCTACCTCCAAGCCCTGGAACAAGCCAGAGCTAACAGAACCTGGCCCCTACTGAGCTCGAGAGAGGCTGCTTGTTCCCTGCTGGGAAAAGGAGGGAGGGTTGACATGGGAAGACAGAAGAAGAGTATGGGAAATGCTGCCAGCCTAAAGTGTCCCTCAGGTGAACCCTGATGGGAGCAGGAGGGTTGGCCCTCTCTAAGGGGAACCCAGGGACATCAGATACATCTCCTGCCCCAACACCTACGACAACTGCCCAAGGAAAGGGGACATTGCCTATAGATATATTTTTGTGTCTATTTTAAACAGAATACTTTTATGTCTATTTTTCAACCACATGTCTCCAACACTTCAGGTTTAATACTGGTGGGCGCAGGGCTTTACTAAGCCTCTTCCTCCTAGGTGACAGGGCGAGGCTGATTACTCAGCTTTTAGCACTGGGGCCCTAAAGCCAAGCCCAACACTGACTCTGTTCCAGGCAGTCATGGTCTAAAGGTCTCTTCATAACAACCCTACATAATATGGGATCATCTCCATACACAGATGAAGACACAGAGGCCTGGGGACTGGAGGTGACCTTTCCAAAGACGCATAGCTAGAAGGCAATAACAGAGCCCGAGTCTGAGGCCAGCCCTTTGCCAGGAATACTTCAGGCCTGGGGTCACTTTGTTCACTGGTCTTCTGGAGTGCAGAGTAAGCAGACACGAGACATTTGTCCTCCTGCTCCCTCCCGTGCTCCTCTCTCCATCCCTCCATCCACTCCTGAACACATGCCTGAGGAAGTGGGGACCTGAAGTCACTTTACCAGAACACACAGGGACCACACTGAGGAGATGGTGGCTTCCCCGACAGGAGCAGAAAGATCAGGAGTGTGTACAAGGTCCAGGGCCCAGGGAGAGGGTGGTCCTTCCTCCTGACAAGGTGAATCCCCTGCCTTGGAGGCCGGAACTTACTCTACTCTGCAAGTGATTGACGTTTTAGCAGGGGTCTGGTGGTAATGGATTTGTTTTTATATTTTACTTTTTAGAACTGGGAGGAATCCCTGTGATGATCTAATCCAACGCCTTCATTTTACAGATGGGGAATGAGGCTCAAAGAGGAAGATGGTGAGTTGGGGTCCAAACTCAGATCTCTTGACTCTTAACCCTGCAGTGGCCCCTACACACTAAAGTAGGAATAAAATACAGGAACAGCCTCAGGCCACCATTTGGGAAAGTGTTGCTCAGGAACAGCTGCTGACGTCAGGCAGGGAACAGTTCCACGCTTGTCCATCTGCAGGTGCTGAGAAAGCCTCAAGAAGACCAACATTTCCCTATGGGAACCTGGGTTCGAGAAAACACACGTAGGGGTGACCCATGGCCAGGCTGGAGCAGCCAGTGATTGGGAGCTGGAACAGAACTGGCCTAGCTCTGGAAAGTCAAGACCCACCGGACAGGGAAGAACTGGTATGCCTTGACTATTTGTTCTCCACAAGGAAAAAGCTGGGGTGCGTTTCCAGAAAGCGTGAGGGCACAAGGGGGTGAGGGTGCTTGTGAGTGGCAATGAGCAAAAAAAGGCAGAAAGAGACACAGGGGTCATGCATGGAGGGACACGAACAGGCCCACAGAGAAATGCCAGTGTGTAAGCACCAAAGAGGTGAAGTGCAGCTGGGAATTAGAGAAGAGAGGCTTACTTTAGCAGTTTGATATTACACATAATCAGCTCCTTCCAGTTAACAAAAATCATAGCAACCTCTTTTTCTGTCAGCAGCTCAGACTCCATCAGGGGTTTCTGAAAGATCTACAGATGCAGAAAACGAAGCAGTTCAGAAAGCAAATGGTTAGCTTCCAACTCAACACACACGCACACACCGATCTGTATGGAGCAACGGCAAGGCCTCAGGACTCGGGTGTCTGCAACTTGACTGGGAGGCTCAGAAACCAAATGCCACCTTCCTGCAGAGATCTGAAGCAGGTGGCCCCTCCTCTGCTCCAGGGAATGGGAGGGGTCCCCAGCAACATCTTCATTGTCTGTGAGTGTGCAAGGGAACAAGGCCAGCTGAAGTTTCCAGGGGACAGGTCTTAACTCCACCAGGACAGGGAGTAAACTGTCTCACCTGTCTACTGGTGGGAAGCAATCCAGTGGGAAAAATGGGGTCTCCAAGATGCATGTGTGTATGGGACGTTCCTTCATTCTCACCTGGGCATCTGCTGCACACACAAGACATGGGCAGTCTAAGCTCCCAGAGGCTGGGCCTCTTACAAGGAGGGCTACCCGTGACAACCTGGGAACTAACACCATCGCTGTCTTCAGCCTCCTAGGCTGGGTCCTGATGGAGCCAGGACTTCCAGGACATAACAAGCCCTTTTCTTGGGCTCTGTGAAATAAACGAGCCCTCCCCAAGCTCTGGAGCATTGGGCATCTTGCAGAAAATCACAGGTCTCAGAGAAAGCCCAGGTGGTTGAGGCCCTGCCTATTAAGGTGGTTATTACCTACCAGTGGAGGCAGGAACACTCTTTTCTTCTGATAGTTCTTTAGGGAAAGGACAGCCTATCTTTGAAGTAAACTTGGCTGGCCCCTGAGAGCCCTATTCCACATGAGTCTTTACAATGATGTAGAACCTGGCAGGTCAGGGCCACCACATACAGCCATGCATTTTGTGCACTGTACAAAGCTGCCATATCTCAAGGGTGACACTCATACCCTAGGCATCCTAAACTCTATACTTTATAACAGTTTGGTGTCTTGAGAAAAGAGCACCCTTTCTGAATTTGCATCAACACTTCCAATGCGTTAATGGCAGCCTTGTGGGCCAGCGACCCATCCTATCCTCAGCATCAGAGAGCCGAGCTATGTCTTCCCTGGGTGTTGAGACTAGCAGACAAGACAGGTTTTGCAACTGTCTGGTGTGGTGGTGGAAGTGGTGGCGATGGAGGTTTCCAAACTTTGTAGTACTTTTCCATTTGTACAGTGACCCTAGGTCCAGCTCTGCAAAGCCCTGTTTTCTAATTTGGCAGCTTCCCATGTGTACAGACAAAAGCTTGCTGAGGAGCAGGGCAGCCATCCTGCTGGGCAGGCTGGCTGAGGCCTTTCAGTGGCTGCCTCGGAGGGTAGACAAGATGAGGCAGCATCCCAGGTCAGGGAGGACCATGGGGACTTGGGTGGATATGACTTCATTCTCAGTGACAGATTTTGTTTGCCCCAAGGAGAAGGAATTTAGAATACTGGGCATAACCTGAGCTATCAGCCCACTGGCCACCCCTTTCAGATGTCAGCACTGAGGCAGGGAGATGGCATGACGGGCTCTGTGGCATCAGCTGGAGGGTGGCTGGGATGCAGCTTCTCTGACAAGAGGCTGGACTCCAATCTCAGTCTATACACCCGCTTTCATCGGCTCCTCGGGACTCCTTTGCCCTGGGCAGTGTACTCTCAGTCCTTGGTGGGTATGACGGAGATGGCTGTGACTGAGAATGTCACCACCTTCTTTGGGGTAAGAGTCCCTCTGTGACCTCCTGTCCAGATGCCCCCCACAGACCAGAACGTGTCTCCGGCTCAGAGTTAGGCCCCACTCCCTCCTTGCCTCCTGCCAGTGCACCCCTTGCCACCCACGGTCCCCATTACCTCTGTGACCAGCTGCAGGTCGTTCACATAGTTCTCCTCAGTGACAATGAGCTCATGGATGTATCCTTGTCGCTTTCGTTCTGTTGGAGTCAACATATCCAAGAGATGTAAGTCTGAACACCCTGGAAAACATAACCATTTGGAACAATTTACTCCAAGTCTGGGAAGCCCACACACATTGATTGCATTGAAGGTCTTCTGGGTCTTCATGGCTGCTGGACCCTGTGGTCTTGCTCCAGGTGAGAATTATGAGTTGAATTTTGCTCCCCAAAATAACATGTTGAAGTCCCCACCCTGTACCAGTGGGTGTGACCTTCTCTGGAAGTAGGTCTGCGCAGATGTAGTCAAGTTCAGATGAGGTCATGCTGCACACTGGTGGGCCCCAATCCAGCACGGCCAGTGTCCTTATACGAAGAGGACGTCAAGACACACAGGAAGGATGCCACGTGACAACGGAGGCAGAGACTGACATGGCGTGTCTACTGACCAAGGGATACCAGGGACTGCGGCAACAGGAGAAGTTAGAAGAGAGGCCAGGGGAGTCTCCCCTAAGGCCTTCAGAGAGAGCATGGTCCTGCCAACACCTCAAATTGGGGCTTCTGCCCTCCAGCATGGCGACACAACAAAGTCCTGTTACTGTGAACTGCTCAGAGAGCGGTCATTGGTTACAGCAACCCCGGAAACAAGCAAGGGGGCTCACTCCTGCTTCATCAAAACCCCTCAAAGTATTGGGTCATTGGGAAAGTCATGACATGTTTGCATAGAAAAACACAGAAAAATACAGGCCCCACTCCCTCCTTGCCTCCTGCCAGTGCACCCCTTGCCACCCACGGTCCCCATTACCTCTGTGACCAGCTGCAGGTCGTTCACATAGTTCTCCTCAGTGACAATGAGCTCATGGATGTATCCTTGTCGCTTTCGTTCTGTTGGAGTCAACATATCCAAGAGATGTAAGTCTGAACACCCTGGAAAACATAACCATTTGGAACAATTTACTCCAAGTCTGGGAAGCCCACACACATTGATTGCATTGAAGGTCTTCTGGGTCTTCATGGCTGCTGGACCCTGTGGTCTTGTTCCAGGTGAGAATTATGAGTTGAATTTTGCTCCCCAAAATAACATGTTGAAGTCCCCACCCTGTACCAGTGGGTGTGACCTTCTCTGGAAGTAGGTCTGCGCAGATGTAGTCAAGTTCAGATGAGGTCATGCTGCACACTGGTGGGCCCCAATCCAGCACGGCCAGTGTCCTTATACGAAGAGGACGTCAAGACACACAGGAAGGATGCCACGTGACAACGGAGGCAGAGACTGACATGGCGTGTCTACTGACCAAGGGATACCAGGGACTGCGGCAACAGGAGAAGTTAGAAGAGAGGCCAGGGGAGTCTCCCCTAAGGCCTTCAGAGAGAGCATGGTCCTGCCAACACCTCAAATTGGGGCTTCTGCCCTCTAGCATGGCGACACAACAAAGTCCTGTTACTGTGAACTGCTCAGAGAGCGGTCATTGGTTACAGCAACCCCGGAAACAAGCCAGGGGGCTCACTCCTGCTTCATCAAAACCCCTCAAAGTATTGGGTCATTGGGAAAGTCATGACATGTTTGCATAGAAAAACACAGAAAAATACATCATGACTTTTCTGATGACCCAATACTTAGTAGCCATCGGCCAGCATTTCCCGAGGGCTCACACCATGCAGGCGCCATGGAAAGAGCCTTACACTGAAACTGTGTTTAATGCTCACTTGTTATACTAGAATTTGCCTCAGTTCGCTGCTAAGGAAACTGAGCTGGGGGAAGATGACTCACCCCACATCACTCAGCTCCACGGTGGTAAAGACAAGAGTTGAACCCTGAGACTTAAGCTGTACCCTAGACTTTATGCTACACCCCAGACCATTGTGATTGGCCCCCCAGCTCCAGAAGGCATAGGGTTACCCCTGGCTTATCTTTTAGAGGACAAGGAGGCTGTGCCAATGCTCCTCTTGACTCAGGGGCCAGCCAGATGCAGCATATCCAGGCAATGCTGGGAAGACCTGCGACTGCGTCCACCTTGTGAAAGCTGAATAGAAGCCACAGGCAGGCAGCAAAGCCCCTCTGGCCACCAAAAGCCCTGTGCAAGACCACTAGGGTCCAAGACTGCCGAGGGAATGAGTTGCCCCACCGCCCTGCCCGTGGCTCTCAGTTGGCTCGCCATTTGGGGCTTTGTTTGCTTTTACATGTTCAGGGCTTATCAGCAGAAGCTGTCCTTGCCCCAAGTACAATGGGATGAGGGGTGGGGAGGCTCCATTCTCACAAGCACCACAAGTGCAAGCCTGGACCCTCCTCCTCCAGGCCAGGGATCTCTCCCCACTTGTTTTTATTTTACTCATAGAAGCCGGATTTGCCAAACAGACTGGGAGGTGTCCTTAGTGTGTGTGTGTGGGTGGTGGGGGGAGGCGGGTGGCAGGGCTGGTGGGGCTGAAATCCATTCCCTTCCTTTCTCTACTCCCCACTAAGGGGTGCAGTTGAACACAGCATAGAACCCCCTATCTGGGACTAGTGGTTCTCAAAATGTGTGTTCTCAACACCTGGGGGTTGTTGGAGGCCCCAGTTACTAAGCCTTACAGAGTGACCTTTGGAGTCCAAGCCTAGGAATCTGTGACTTCGGCTCCCCAGGCAACTTTGTAGGCACACTGAAGTCTGAGAAGCCTGGATTACCAGTGGCTTCTCAGAGTCTCCACTGTCCCCAGGGGGAGTTACTGGGGCTCATGACTGGTGCTGGAAGCTTCTGCACCCTTCTGGGGGTGAACGATACCATAGACTCTTGGCAGATGCTATGATGTTGTAGAGATGAGCCCCAGGGCTGAATTCTTCCAGCCCAGGAGTTGGTCCTCTTCCCAGGCCAATCCATCTTTCCAGACACTGAAGCTCCTGCCTCTTTTAAAATATCTTTCTCCCATGAGTAATAGAGGCAGAGACAAAGAGGCAGCACCCCCACCAGGGTCTCAGTGCCCCAAATCCAGCCTCAGCTTCAGTCAGCTCCAGGTCATGGGTACACACGCGCCTGGCAAACTCAAGGAGCGCCAGACACTACCTTTGAGCCTTCCTGCACGGGTCAGCCTCGCAGAGCCCCGCATTTTACTACTGCACCCCACCTGGCCCCTTGGGTGCTGTAGCTTCTGTTGCTGTCATGGGAACATCCCAGGACAGGCAGGAGGATGGCAGGAAAGCAGCCTCTATCCTATTACCAACCCCTGTCCACCTTCCCATCCCAGACCTCACTCAGAGCCACTGCTCTGCAGCCACCCTAGAATCCATGGGGCCACGAGGTAAGTGTGAACCTCTACCCAGGTATGCAGCTGTGTCTGAATGTGGGCCCTCTGCTCAGCTGCCAGCTTGGCCTGCAGTTCTTCCTGCCTCCGGGGGTTGGTTGTCTAGAAAAACAGCTGTGTCAACAGTGACCTCTCAGGAAGGGACCGAGCCAAGCTGGCACTCATGGCTTCAGCTGCTGTGTGAGCCTGGGTCTGTGGGAAGCTGAGGGTCATCACCAATGGGTTTGACTCTTACTGGGCAAGTCACCAAGGACACATAACTCATCTCTGCCCTGTTTTACCTCACTGTCCTGCGAGTGAGTCAAAGGGCCAGGACACGGCCACTCCTTGTAAAATGGTTGCAAGCAGCCCATGTGTTATGGACTTGTGCACCTTCTCACAGAGCAGAGGCTCCCCGGGGATGTCCAGGGCATTCCCTTCTATGGATATTAGGGTACTGGCACAGAGCGATAGTTCTAAAATTGATCTCAGAAAACTGTGCAGTGAAGCGAGCAGTGACAAACCTCAGGCTACTGGTGGAAGCTGGTTGGACCATCTACCACATATCCTTGGGGGTCACAATTCCTTTGGAGAAGCTGATGTAGGCCATGGGTTCTTGCCCCAGCAAATGCATGTGTTTAACACACACCACATACACACAGATTTTTTTGGGTTTGGTTTTGGCTTTTGCTAGCCAGAGAGACAGAGAGGAGAGGAGAAACACCTCTTGTGGGGAATGATCGCATTCCAATCCCTTTTTCTCCACCTCTTTCTCCTTTAGAGACATTGGGCACAGACATGCGTGTGCTCGGCATGTCTCCCAACCCTCTAGGCCCAGGATTCAAACCACACAGTCAGTTATGTGGGATCTGGGCACCCCAACCACCAGGCAACGGAGCTGGCCTGACCTATACAGTTAGCACACAATTTTAGTGGTCCATAGGCCTTCTTGGAGCCTGTTCATGAATCACATTCATTCATTCATTGACAAACATCTCCCGATGTCCTTCCACGAGCCTTGAACTGAGCTGAGTGTGGGGGATTCAGGATGCATGCACTCCACAAAGTACAACAAAGAACTTTGGGGTTCAGTGTTTCTCAGCCAAAGGTGGTACTGCCCCCCTCCCCCCAGGCTCAAGATGGTGCTGCACTGCCCAGGCTAAAGATAGCATTTTCCACCCAGGCTGAGAGCCCATTATCGGTTGTCATAACAATAAGATGCCTGCTGGAATTTGGTGCTAAATAGCCTGCAATATTTAAGACAGGGATTGCCTATTTCTGATGCCAAGAACACCCCATAAAGAAACACTGACATACTTAGAAACTGACAACTAGAACACGATTATATTCCACAGTCAGGAGGCGTGAGTGACCGATAGATAGACCTAGGATGACTAAAGAATTGAAACAGTCTTATGAGGAAAGATGGCTGACTTGCTTTGGATTCCAGAAGTTTTTCTGAGTCTTCAACTTCCACATGGCACAAGTTGTGAAGAAATCAGAGCCAGATCGACAGCAGAAGGTCCTGGCTAAATCTGGGCCTTTGGTTCAAGAATCCGAGGTGCTCAGGGTCAGTGGGCACACACTGAAGGCTCCTGCATGGCCTTTGGGCAGCTCTAGGGCGGCTCCAGTCCTCCAGTTCCCACCAGCTGCGAGGCCCTAGTCCGAGCTGCAGGAGCTGAGAAGCCCAGGGCAGGCACTGGGGTGATCTGGTCTACCTGCCCCAAGCTAGTCCACCCTAGCCTGCCTGGAGGACACAGTGAAAAGTAAAGGCTTAGTGGGAGAGCCATCTCTGCATTATGTGCCAATGCCCTTGGCTTGGAATTATCTTTTTAGCCACAAACCTGAGCCACGGGATGCTGTTTAAAAATTCTCGCCGGTGAATGCCAGACCAAGAGAACCATTAAAGACTTGAATAGGCACTTTGAACTCTAAAATAGCCTTCCTTTGAAAATTTAATATTCAGAAAAACAAGAGAGGTTAAAAACTTCATTATTTGAAGGTAAATGGAAAAGACATTTCAAATAAAAGCGTTTTCTTTAGGGGTGGAGGGACATGACCCTCTCTCCTTTGGGTACCCGGATCAATGTGGTTTGTCGGCCCCTCTCCAGTGAAAAACGAGAGGATAAAATATGGTAAATGATTTTCCAGGGGCATCTTGGTGTAATGAAGGAATTCTCAGAACTAACTAAAACCTACTCACAGCTGAAATAATATTTTAAATTACTCCAGGCAGTTAAAAATGATCCCCTTATTACAGCCCACATAAATTTCCTAATCTATGTGTCTTCTCTTACAATTTCATATTATTAGGTATATTTATTTACAAGATGGGGAATGCTGTAATGCCCCTTTGGAAAATTTTAAGTCTAGGCTGCTAAAGGAAAGTATGGGAAAATCTTATCAAGAAAAGCTCATCTTGGGGAGGCCCCATAGCCTAGTGGTTAATGGAGCTGAATCCCATATGGCTGATTGTGCAGTTCAAATCCTGGCCCCAGTAGCTTGAAAAATAATAGTCCGCACATGTGTGTGTTGCCCCAAGTCCCAAGGAGATAGAGAACTGGGGAAGTGATCGTAATGTGACCATCCCTCACCAAGGGATGCTTTCTCTCTCCCTCCCTCTTTCTGTCTCTAGTGAATTGCCAGGCCCTCTGGTAATTGTTTTTTTAAAAAAG